CCCACAGGAGGGCAGTGGGGTGTGGAATAAGGACCCCATGGGGTGGGTCTGTGGCAGAGAGAAGATGCACAGGACCACCCCCAGCAGCAGGGCAGCTCCAAGCCCAAGGGAACAATTTAGGTTTTCCTTAGCTCCTTCCCAAAATCATCTACAGCACCATCCTAAGGCACTCCCACACCTGCCTCGATGCCTGGGAAGTCAAAGCCAGGCAGCACAGAAACTTCCCAGGAAAGCTGAGTGACACGAACAAAAAAAGAGGATTTAATTCTCAGACAAGGTTTGTTATTCATCTCCACCGCTGATCTTTAATTTCAAAGGTGACAATCCCCGCTGGGCTGTGATTTTCATTAACACTCCCTGCCCTTGAGGTCTCCCTGCACAGCACATTCCTTTGGTGACAGAATGGTATCAGCTGGATAAGGGAAAAAAAAAAAAACAAAACCCACACCCTGCACCCTCCCACCTGTGCAAAATCTAGTAGTAAGAAGCTTGTATCCCATTACTCCCAGTAGCAGCCACACACACACCTCCAGGTGCAGGGTGATGCTCTGACAACACTCAATTAGAAAATGAGAATTTTCTTGCCATCACAGCTGAGTGGAAAGTCAGCAGTAACGATGAGGAACACAAATAAATTAATGATTCAAGCCAGACTTCTCATCACAGGTGCTGATTTGGAGGTTTAAGCTCCAGCAGCTCAGGGCAGAGGCACCTCAGCCTGGTAAGATGTGCACGGTAGCACAGCCAGGACTGTCCCCTCCTGGGACAGAGTCAAAGGCTGGAAGAAGGGAATAAAATTGGTAGATGAAAAAGAAATGGTATTACCATATGGTAACTAGGGCAGAAGATAAATTCCTGGCTGTGAGGGTGGTGAGGCCCTGGCACAGGTTGTCCAGAACAGCTGTGGCTGCCCCATCCCTGGAATGTCCAAGGCCAGATTGGACAGGGCTTGGAATGACCTGGGACAGTGGAAGGGAGTGGAACAAGATGGGCTTTAAGGTCCCTTCCCAGCCAAAGCATTCCATGATTCTGTGATCCTATACCCAGAGCACAACCCTACAGGTACTGTCACAGCTCAGCCTCCACGAGTCCCACAGGGAGAGGGGAACACAAGCCACAACAACCTGTCACACATGGACACTTGCAGGGCCTTCCACGGGAATGCCACCCAGCAGGGATCACAGCACAAGAGGCAGATGGCTCATTCTGCATCTGGAAGGGACTTGCAGCCTATTGGACACAGCAGGCAGCAGGGCCAAGGACACGGTGCCACAAGAGCCCTGCACAGCCCTCAGCACCTGGCTGTGCCTCCTGTTCCCAGTGCAGTGCAGGCCTTAAGGAGAGCAAATGAATGAAGCACAGTGTCCTTCCTCTCTTTGGCACACTGCAAACAGGCTTTTCCACATTCACCAACTCTCTGCTGCAACAGGGTGCAGCCCAGGAAACGTCGAGTTTGGGGACATTTATCAGCTTCAGCAGCTCTGAACCTCCTGTTGCTCAGCTCTCTGTGCAAGCAATCCCTCCCTGGTGCCACAGATATATCAGCAGAACCCTGCCAGACCAGACTGTAGAGCTGAGCCACCCTACAACATCCCCACCCTTTCTCCCTCCTGCACACAAAACAGCCTGCCATTCTACACAGGAACTTGTCAGGAGTTCAAAGTACAACCTGAGACACCTCACAGATCAGGCAGGCCTTACTGTGGTATAAAACGGAAAATCTCCACTTTATACTGAGGTATAAAACGAAAAATCTCCAAATTTAAACCTAATCCATATTCAAATTTAACTATAGTAGAAGTCAGAGACAAGAATGACCCATTTTAAGAAAAATTCTCAGGGAAAAAAACTAAATATCTGCAAGTCTTAAAACTACACAAGGGGACTTCACTCCTCATACCCTTCAGATCTAAATGATGAGTACCAAGTTATGCTTAGCAACACTTGAAGTATGAGTGAAAATGCCATCCTCTACCAGCAGTAGCCTATTTAAGACCAGTTAGATCCATTAACTCTGGTCTCTCACCCAAATACTTCCTTTATCTAGGCCTGTATCTTTCGTAGTACCAAAATTAAAATTTTAACACATATCCCTGGGTCTCTTGACAACCTGGCACCAGCAAAAAGTGGGGCAGATACGTGGGAGCCGAGGAGTTAACCAGCCCACAAAAGAGTACACTCACTTCAGCTCTGATTAAGCGGGGCAGTCACAAAAACAGAGGTCAACATCAGAAAATATTTTGTGAGTCATGAGGAGAGATTACTCACCATGCACTATTCAACTTACTCATCACAGTGTGGCACGGCCAGCACGGCTCACCACGGCTTCATTAGGGCACCGTGGCCTTTCCTTTGAGGCGGGGGAAGGAGCCGCACTTTCAGTTTTGTGTGGAAGCCAGTGGGAGGCTGGAGCTGCACCACCGCCGCCGCTCTCTCTCCTCCCACGGCCCTAATTAGACTCGGAGGGAAATACGTGTTTCACATCAGCCTCCCCGGCTCTTTTAGCATCCCAACAAGCGCCGGGTTGTCAGCCGGGTTATTATCCGGACTCAGCAGTCTGGAGAGACCCCACTTTTCCTATTATACACGAAATAAGCAGCAGCCCAGCAATAAAGAGACACGGTATTAACCCAGGCGTCCATTAATAAGAGAGACCAGCCTTCAACGCAGCAACACTGACGCCGCTAATTTAAGATGTAGTAAGGGCATAAAAATAGCCAAGTTACTCAAGGCAGGGTTACATCACACCACGGAGCCCGGGCACGCAGCAGGTTCACACTACAGAGCCTCGGATGTTGGGAAAGATGACTCCGTGCCACTGCTGCTGCTCTTACCAAAAATAACCTGCCGGGACCGTGAGTTTCCCGTTCCCTTTCCTACAGCCCTCCTCGGAAAACACATCTCACAGAGTACAACAGGAAGCAACCCGAACGCTGCTAAATAAAACTCCTTGAATCAGCGTGGTGTGGTTTTTTTTTTTTGATTTTCCCTCCTCTCGGCTATCCCACCTTGCTTCCTCGGAAGCACGGGCGGTGAAACTAAGAAATGTTCTGCTTACGTCAAAGCGAGCCGAGCTCTGCCGGCAGCGCGGGGCCGCGCCAGCGCGGGGAAAGCGCGGCTGCAGTTCAGCAGAGCACGATGTCAGCAGGCCAAGCGCTGCCACGGACACGGGGATTTGTTTGCAGAGCCCCAGGGTTCAGCCGGAGCCGCGGTCAAAGCCGGGGAGTGCGTGTGTGCGAGCACGCCTCGGCCGCGCCGCAGCGCTCCGCTCCCCGGAGCTCCCCCGGCCCCCGGTGGAACATCCACCCGGGAACGGCTCTGGAAAGGCTGGCAGTGCCAAGCGCACGGTTCAAGGGCAGGATGTTTGGGGTTTGTGGTATTTCTCAGTACATGGGGGGATCACAGCCCCCTCCCCCGCCCACCACCTCCACCATCCGCATTTCTGATTAACTGAGAAAAAATTCTATTTATTCTGCCATCCTCAAAAACAGCTGCTCAAGTTTCCCCCAAAACAATTAAATCCTTATTTCCCATGCTGCAAAACACACGTTTCACCCTTAAAATAAAGGGCGGGGGGGAATCGGTTTTTCGCTTTTTAAGCCCGTAGGAATCTCTGTGAACAGACATAAAACCATCTCTCCCTCCCAGAACAATCCCTATCCCGCGTAATCTTTAACCTCCGCTTCACACAACCCGCTCGGAGAGGGAGGTGGAGGAGGGAGGGGGGGACACACGAGTTAATATTTGGCGAGGAAAACCGAACCCGGTCATCGCTTGTACTTTCAGTTTCTGACAATTTGAGCAGAGCGCGCGCCCGCCAACACTGACAGAGCTGCCCAAACAGGAAAGGCTGCGCTTAACCAGTGTGTGCTGGGAGACACGCCGGGAGCAGCACTGCATGGAGGATGTTTTGGAAAAGCACGGCTACAGCGGCAGCCCCGAAAGGCAGGCGGCAGATAGGAGCAGGCAGCCGTCTCCCCCTGCCACGAGCCATATATTCCTAATCGCTCACACACAACAAGCGATTGCCAAAAGCGAGCAACAACATCAGCAGTATCAGCTGCCCCAGCCTGTGCGTCCCAGCGTGTTCTCGCCGGGAAAACGGCTCACGTACAACAGCACAGCCTGGAACGCAGGGATAATCAACAGTGCCTGCGCCAAGTAAACATAAAGAGAGACGGTTTGCCTTTGCAAACTGTGCTCCGAGGGGCTACACGCAGTTAGGGAGAGAAATTGCTCAAGGGTTGATAGGAAGCCTACACACATCCAAAAATACCCTCCCCGGAGCCTTTCGCCTCTCGTGGGATTGTCACTAATTTGAACATGGACATTGTTATCAAGGTCACACATCGCTCGTCCGGGCTCGGGAGAAAGTCAGGCAAGTTAAGGAAAAACGCTGCTCGGTAGCTAAGCAAGGACAAGTGACATTTTATTTGGAAGCACGAGGATTGCGGCTGGCTCGAATTCTACTCGGGATAAATAAAAGGGGAGCTCCAAGGGCACGGCTGGAGGGGAACTGGCGGCCGCCCCAGACACCAGCGCTGCCTCCAGACCCACAAGCGCCGCTGGCCGCTGTTTATTCCCCCTCTGCGGCTGGTCCTGGGGTCCCCACGACCACCCGAGGCCATCCATAATTTAAGCGCTATTCCTCCATCCAGAATCCCTGGATTGCACCCCGCTCGCAGCAGCACCGGTTATTAACCAGTTACACGAGCCCAGCGCGAGGAAAACACGAAAACTTTTCATTAACCAGTCCTCCTCCTCCCCGCCCTTCGGTTTAGTCAACCAATTATAAAATGAAATTGGGGATTTGACTTCCAGGCGAGCAGCGGCGGCACCCGGGGCCGGGGCTGCGGGAGGGTTCCCTCACGGGGGGCGATCATCCCGACGGATCCCGGGAAGGGCCGGCGCTGAGGGATCGCCCGGCGGCTGCCAGGGCCGGGGCAGGGCCGGGGGCGCTGACAGGGCGCGGGGCAGGTGCGGGGCCGGGCCATACTCACGTAGACGGGCAGCGGCCAGGGGTACACGGCGGGCTCGGCTCCCACGGGCGACTTCAGCCGCAGCTCCAGCCTCTCGCCCATGTCGGCAGCCGGAGGACGAGGCGGCGGCGGCCCCGCACCATGCTAGAGGGGCCGGCCGGGGCGGGGTGCGGCGGCCGGGCCGGGCCGGGGGCGTGGGCGCGGTGCGGCGGGCGGGGGGCGGCGGGAGCGGCGGGGAGGGGCGGCCGGTGCCGGGGGGGCGGCGGGTCCCGTCCCTCCCTCTATTGTCGTTGGCGGCTCGCGGGGCTCTCGGGCGCCGCCGCCATCTTGGGCCGGCGTGAGGCGAAGCACAATGAGGCGCCGGGGCCGGGCCGGGCCGGGCCCGAGCGACGCGACAGACGCGGGGAGGGGGCGGGCGGGGAGAGGGGCGGGCACGGCCCCGCGGTCCCTCCCCCCTTCCCTTCCCTCCCCTCCCTCCCCCCTGTCCTCAGCTGCCCCCGCGCCGCGCGCGCTCCCGCGGCCCTCTCGCCCTCTCGTGCGCGTGCCCGCAGCCCCCCCAACCCCCCCTCCTGCGCGCGGGTGCGGGCGGGGGTCGCGCGCGGAGGGGGGAGGTGGGGGGGGCTGCGGGGACGGGACCCCCGGACAGGGCGGTGTGACACAGGGGTGGCACTGGGGTGACACAGGCACGGAGAGCAGCACCGGCTGCGGCGCCAGACACGTGTGACAGGGTCAGGGTGGCACATGGGACATGAGAGATGGATGGGCTGCAGTGTGACATGTGTGTGACAAGGACGAGGGTGGCACATGGGAGCAGGACAGGCCATGGTGTCACATGCATGTGACAGGGCCAGGGCAACACACAGCACATGAGAGCAGGATGGACTACAGTGTGACGTGCATGTGACAGGGACAAGGGTGGCACCTGGCACACAGGAGCAGGACAGGCTGCACTGTGACATGTGTGTGACCGGACCAAGATGGCACACAGCACACAAGAGCAGGATGGGCTGCAGTGTGACACGTGTGTGACAGGGCCAGGGCAGCACATGGCACACGGGAGCAGGATGGGCTGCAGTGTCACATGCGTGTAACAGGGACAAGGGTGGCACCTGCACACGGGAGCAGGATGGGCTGCAGTGTCACATGTGTGTGATGGCGCAAAGATGGCACATGGGCACAGGAAGGGATGGGCCACATTGTCACACATGTGTGACAAGGTGAGGGTGGCACATGGGAGCAGGAGCGTCTGTGGTGTGACACATGTGACACAGCAAGAGTGGCACCTGTGAACAGAACAGGTTGTGGCATGATGTGTGACAAGGGCGAGGTTGGCACATGGGCACAGGAGTGGGACAGGCCACGTTGTCACGTGTGATGGGGAGAAGGTGGCACATGGGAGCAGGACGGGCTGTGGTGTGACACAGGTGACAGAGTGAGGATGAGACATGGCACATGGGAGCAGAATGAGTCTCACTGTGACACATGACAAGGCCATGGGTGGCACATGGCACACAGGAGCAGGATGGGCCACATTGTCACACGTCACACAGGGTGAGGGTGGCCATGGCACTCAGGGTCTGTGTGAGGGTGGAGCACCCATGTGACAGCACAAGGCTGGGACCCTCCATGTGACAGCACCAGGCTGGCATGGGACATTCATGTGGCCTTGCAGGGCTGGGTCACTCATGTGGTGGTGCAAGACTGGCACACTCGTGATGGCACAGGGCTGTCACACCCATGTGAGGGCACAGGGCTGACACACTCATGTGATGGCACACAGCTGTCACATTCATGATGGCACAGGGCTGTCACACTCATGTGATGGCACAGGGCTGACACACTCATGATGCCATACAGCTGGCACATTTGTGATGGCACAGGGCTGTCACACTCGTGATGCCATACAGCTGGCACACTTGCGATGGCACAGGGCTGTCACACCCATGTGGGGGCACAGGGTTGTCATGCACATGATGGCACAGGGCTGTCACACTCATGATGCCATACAGCTGGCACACATATGATGGCACAGGGCTGTCACACTCGTGATGGCCCAGGGCTGTCACACTCGTGTGAGGCCAGGCTGTGCTCATGGCTCACTGGACCAAGCCCCCAAAGCTCCTGGGGCAAAGTCTGCATACAAGTGACCTGTGAGCTTTACCCGGTGCCACACGGTGACAGTCACGATCGTGGGGGTGTGTCACACGTGGGACACAGAGGGGGCATCCCCATTGCACACGGGTGGGTGTGCCAGGATGTGCAGGGGGCTCCATACACTCCGAGGGGGAGCTTTACTGGCACAAGGGAGCACAGTGAGCCCTGTGCACAGCAGTGGCCAGTGGGGACACGGGGACAACGGCACATGGCGACAGGGTCCATCAGCCACAGACACCAAGCACTGGGTGCCCAGAGCAGCACCGGGAGCTCTGTGGCGGCAGCTACAGCCTTACAACACGGTGTAACCTGGGAGTAGGGCTGAGTGCACCCCAGCCAGGCAGCGACAGGAGCGGGAGGTGTCCTGGGTGGGGGCAGGGAGCGGTGACACCTGGGTGGGGCCGGGAGCTGCATCTCTATAGAGGCCGGTGATGGGCTCAGTGACAGCGATTTCCATGTCTATAGGTGCCCGCAGGGCAGGGTGACACCGTTTGCATGTCTATAGGTGCCCAACTGGGCGACAAACCAGGCCGGAGCTTCCTCCTTCACAGCCTTTCCCTCTTCCAGGGACATGCGCGTGCCCTGGGGTGCAGGGACATCTGGGGACCCTGCCACCCTGCCCTGCACTGCGAGGGAAGGGCACCCAGCACCACCACAGCGCCCACACCCTCTGCTCACCTCCGAGGGGGCCAGGGGACAATGACAGCGTGCCGGGTGCCATGCTCCATCTGAGGGTGGAAGAGCAGCTGGGAGGCAGCGTCTGCTGGGGATGAGCATCCCTGCAGGACAGGAGCATCCTGAGGAGGTGCCCTCAGCCCAGCTGGGCACGGCTGAGCCCAGCTCTGACCTGCAGCCGGGTCCAGCAGAGCCAGTTGGCACCTGGAAGGAAAACCAGTCCTTCCCAATAAACTGGTGGTGGAAGTTCTGCCATGCCAGTGTGGGCTGGGACCTTTTCCCCCTGTGGTTCCTCACTTTCTCAGCCAAAGACAAGTAAACACAGCTCAGGGCAGGATGCTTGTGCCATCTGGCTCTCCTGGCTGTTGTTCCCAGTTTATTAATCCCATCATTCTTTTATGGGGCTGCAGAGGATGTGGCTCAGCCATGCTGGGGAGCCTGGGGGAGCCTATGGAGCTCAGCTTTGGTGCCCCTGTGTCGGTGCCATCACATCCACTCTGCTCCTGCTCTGGGATGTGGCTCCAGGGCCAGGCAAAGCCTCCTGCATCCAGTGAACCTCTGCAAGTCCTTTGGGATGGAGATGTGCCATGGAGACATCCAGTGTCTGTTGTCCTGCTTGGGTCACTGCCTGTGGCCCTGTGCTCCTCAGGACGGCAGGGAATGCACCATGCCTGAAATGCATCCAGAGCCAGCGAGTGCCAGAGCAGGATATTCCCTGCACAGGGATTTTGTACATTATTTAACACCTGTATTTCCTGACAGGTCTCTGCCTTCAGCAGAGACAGGAGCTGTTTATTGGGGGCAGCTGCATAGCTCTGTGATGGGGGCTGGGATGTGCCCCTGCTCCTGTTCCCATGGCTGCTCCCTTCTCCAGAAACTGCTCCAAGGCTGGCACCAGACTCATCCACTCCCCTCTTTGTATCCTTTTTCTCTCCCTTAAACGTCTGTACGTGCAGAAAGCTCCATAGCTAGCAACGCTTTTCTAAGGAAAACACTAAAATCATCAAGTCAGCAGTGCTTAAACTGCTCTGACTGCCTCTTAAATAATCAATTCATTTTTAATTAGCTTACCACAAAAATTCCATTAAATTTAAATAAATAGACATGGCAGGAGTTCTCCAAGGCACAGCAGGCTCCATTTAAAGAATTCTCTTTGAGTTCGTTAGGTTGGTCTTTAATCAGTTTGTCGTCCAAGTCCTTGTGTGGCCCAAGCAGGCTCCTGGGCTGCTAATAAAGAGTAATGGAAGCTTCCAGGATTTCCCAGATGAATCCCAACCATCTGGCCACCATGCAGGGGCTCGGTGCTGGAGCTGATGTCTCCTCCTGGCAGGTAGTGGGGAGTGAGTCATTTTTGAAGCACCTGCCTGAATCAGGACATCTTTTCATTGATTTCTCTGAGTTTTACATCTGGAAGATGAGAGGGAAGCAAGGAAGGGCAATGCCCTGTTTTCAGCTGGTTCAGTGAGCTGAGCTGACCCCTGAGAGATGTGAGAGAGCTGGGAGCCACTCTGTCCCCTTGGACAGCTCTGGATTTTTGCTTTTTTGGGTGTCTTGCAGGTCTATAAGAAATCTTGGGAGAGGCTTCTGACCAGAGCATGTCAGGGGAAAGGCTTCCAAGTGCCAGAGGGCAGGGTTAGATGGGATTTTGGGAAAGAATTCCTCTCTGTGAGGGCAGTGAGGCCCTGGCACAGGGTGCCCAGAGCAGCTGGGGCTGCCCCTGCATCCCTGGCAGTGCCCAAGGCCAGGCTGGACAGGGCTGGGAGCAGCCTGGGACAGTGGGAGGTGTCCCTGCCATGGCAGGGGTGGCACTGGGTGGGATTTAAGGTTCCTCCCAACCCAAACCATTCCCTGATTCTCTGCCCACTCACCCTGTGCTCTCCTGCAGCTCCTCTCTCTGTGCTGCACCAGGACACACTGGCTGCTGCCAGGGTTCCAGAGATGATATTCCAGGGACACCAGGCAGTGACCTGCAGCATTGGCCCTTCCAGAGAATCAAGAATCCACTTCCAAATTGGCAGCAGTTGGATTTTTCTGGTGTGGAGGTTTGTGGGGGGAGAGGAGAGGTTCCCATCTCCTCCCCAGGTGTGCTGGTCCTGCTGCATCCCCCAGCTGCAGCTCCTGGCTCCAGGCTGGCACAATTCAGAGCTGAATTTTTTTTTGCCACCACCAGATGAACCAGTTTGGATAGGGAGGAATGGGGAAGCTCTGCACTGCTCCGTGCACACAACTCTGCTCCTGTAGCACTGGAAAAGAGATTTTTCCATGTCAAGAGTGCACAGTGGGCAGCTGGTGCCCACAGGCAGCTGGCACAGCCCCTCCTGCCCTGCTGCTCCCACATCCCACCTCTGCTCCCATACAGCCCCAGCCAGGGATCCCCCAGAATGGGGGTCCCAACTCTGCACTGTGGGGGGACACAGGGAGGGCATTAATGCACCAAGGACATTTTGCACAGGCAGTGCTCTGACCCTCTGTGCACAAACCACGTGCAAAGGCACCTCTGGAGCTCATCCCACACCGGGGTTACTCCCCTTGGACTGTGGGGTCGGCTTCTATCATGTTCATGTGTCCATTGACCCTCAGGCAGGGC